CCCCTCCCCGGACCTATCAGTGGGCGCCACATACATCACCTGACGTGGGCAATAGGCCAATAGTCAGCTGCTTCGTAGGGCTATGTGAACCAATCAAATCTTACCAGCAGGGGCCAAAAGCTATACGGGAAACAAGGCTCGTGGCATAAGCTCCAGCGGAAGGGGCAAGGCTGAGGAGCAGGGCGCCCGCGCCCGACAAATAAGCAACAAGATCGAAGCAGTAAAGTCTCCCCAAAAAGAACAATCTTTTAGACAGATTTAATCAGACCTCTAAAGAACTAATATCAATGCTTCTCATACTATCTGTAAAACAGAAAAGTAATACTCATAAATTCAGTTTACAGAGCCAATACCCTGATAATATCAAATAAGTACTGAAAATGAAAATTGCAGACCAAGTCCTTGATGAATGAATATAAGGAACCCTCAATAAAATTCTTACAGGCAGAATCCAACAACATATTTAAAAAATTAAACTCCATGTTCAAGTTTATTCCATTCCAGGGACGCAAGGATGATTCAACATACACAGATCAGTAAGTATAATAAACCACAGAACTAGAATGAAGGTCAGAGAAAAAGAAAAACACAATCATCTCAAAAAGATGCATAGAAAGGGTTCAACAAAATTTAAGTTCGTCACAGTAAAAATACTGAAGTAAAAAAAAAAAAAAAGCTATAGGTGGCAAACTCACAATCAATATCACACTGCAGGGGACAACCCGCTCAGGCCCCCTCCTGTCCCTCTCTGGGACAAGAGCTTTCTTTCCCTCAATAAATATATTTTGCTAAAAATTAAAAAAAAAAAAAATCACACTGGGAAAAACTGAATGCATTTCCTGTAAAATCAGGAACAAGACCAGGGTGTCCAGCCTTACCACTTCAGATCAATGTAAGACTTAAGTTTTAGAGCAATTAGGCAAGAGAAGGAAATAAAAGAGACACCAATAGAAAAGGAAAAAGGAAAAGCCCTTCTTGGAAGATGACGTCATACTTCACCTAAAAGACCCTAAAAACTCAAAGCAAAAGACTTTGAGATCTAATAAACGAGTTCATCAAACTGGCAGAATACAAAAATTAACACACAAAAACAGCTTTTCTATATGCCAATAACGAAAATGCTGGGAAAGAAATCAATAAAACAATTCTGTCCATAATAGTCTCTATCAGTCAACCAATAAATTTAGGAATAAACCTAACCAGGAAGGAAAAGAAAATTATGGAGCACTTAAGAAAACACCGAAGAACAGAAGACAGACCCTCTGTGCTCGCAGACTGGCAGAATTATTGTTAAAAGGCCAGCTACTGAAAGGGATCTGATCAGGCTGCCGTCTTCATAAAACAGCAACGGCATTCTTCACAGAACTAGATGAAAACAGTACTAACATTTATATAGAAGCCCAAGTGATCCAGAGTAGCAAGAGAAATCCTCAGAATACAGAGCACTGCTCTAGGCATCAGAATTCCTAATCTGAAGATACACTAGAAAGCCACAGTAACCAAAGCAGCATGGTTCCGGCCCAGAAACGGATACATAGACCAGCGGGGTAGACTAGAGCACAAGAAACAAACCCACGCAACTACAGCCACGGAATTCTTCACAAAGGGCCCAAAAGTACTTTGAAGCAAAGACAGTCTCTTCAACAAGTGGTGCTAGGAAACTGGGTAGTCACATGTAGGTTACAGCCAGCCCCAGGCGTAGCGGTGCACACCTGTAATCCCTTTCAAAGCTGAGGCAAAAGGGTCACTATGAATATGAGGCCAACCTGGGCTACAACACAGTGGGGTCAAAGCCAGCCTGAATTACATAGTGAGCGAGACCCTGCCTCAAAAAAAAAAACAAAAAAAACTGAAAAAGAATCAAAGACCTAGGTATAACACTAGTTTGAAACTCCTGGAAGAAAACAGGAAACACTCAAAAACATAGACACGGGAAATAACACAAGAATCAACAAATGAAACTACATAAAATCAACAGACTGAAGAGACAGCTTACAGAACGGGAGAGAAAATCTTTGCTAGCTGTTCTTTATATACAAATATACATAAGGAGCCAAAACAATTTTTCTCGCTTTTGAATGCTTCCTACGAGCTATGTATCATTTCTATCTTTTATCCGTTTTATTCCACCTTCTATCTTTTATCCGTTTTATTCCACCTTCAAATAAACCGACTTGTCTTGGTTTAAGTAGCTTTTGGTGGTTTTTTTTCTGTTTGTTTGTTTGTTTTGTTGTTATTGTTTTTGCAGAACAGGGGATTGAACTCAGGCCCTTGCACTTGCCAGGGAAGCGCTTATTCCACTGAGTTCATCTCCACAGCCCCCTTGTCTTGGTTTAAACTCGACTTCTTGAAATTTTCTGACCCTGGGTTTGGCCGAGGAGATAGCTCAGTGGTCTAAACACCTGCCTAGCAAACCTGACACTGGGTTTACATCACCGGGAGCTGTTTTCCGACAAGGCTGCGGCTTTCGGTTGAAAGTTCCTATCCATCACCAAATATTTTCAACTCTGCACCCCAGAAGAGATCATGAACACATTTACTCCTCTTGCACTGGGTTTCTTGCACGCGGAAGAAACAAAATAGCCAGGGAAGAGTGTAGGCATGAATGAACCCTCCAGGCTAAAGCCTTCTGAGCTGCCAAAGCGCACCACTTGAGCAGTTAATTTTGGTCCTTTTACTTGAATTTCCTTACAGTTTTCTCCATGTTGCAGGTAATGTTTTTAAAACTGCACATCAAAGCCAGGCATGGTGCTACAAACCTGTTGAAAGAAAGAAACAGAGAGAGAGAAGACATTAAGAGAGAAAGAGAGAAAGAGAGAGAGAGAGAGAGAGAGAGAGAGAGAGAGAGAGAGAGAGAGAGGAGAAAACAAAAGGAAAGGAAGAAAACAAAAGCAGCACACACTCAAGCAAAAGCTCAAATTACTAAATGAGCAAATGAATGGAAACCTCTCAAACTAATTACAGATGTCCTGTAAGTATATGAAAAAACTGTCCAATGGTCTTATCCATGAGCTTTTAAATGCAAGCCCAAACTATGCTGAGACTCAGCCTAATCATAGAAAGCTTCTCATCAAGAACACGCAAGCAAGCAAGCGATAAGCGCTAGGAGGACGCAGGGGAAGAGGCTCTTGTACTCTGTCGCGGTGTCACACATTAGCACAGCACAGGGAAGGGAGGGGAAGGCTGCGCACGCGGGCTCGCTCCGGAGGCGGCGAGACCCCGCAGCTGGGCGGCCGGAGGGGCGCGAGGCGGCTGCCCCCGCACGCTGCCCAGCAGCCGGCCCTGCGCCCGGCAGGCTCAGGCTCCGTCTCTGCAGAACGCCTCTCCGCGCGGGGACGCGCTTACAATCAAGCCACAACACAAACGCCGCCACCAACTCCTCCCACACACGTCTGTTTGTTGTCAAAGAGAAAACGTCGGTGGGCGACTCACAGCAGCAAAGCAGCCCGGAAGACGAACACGCTGCGCTGCCATCCGGCCGGGAGGAAGAGCGTCCAAGAGCGCGAGAGAAAGCAAAGTCGCTGCGGGGAAGCCCTGGGCTTGGGGTGCGGGGGAGGGCGGAGGGCGGGGGGCGGGAGCAGGGACCCCGCGGCTCCCGGGAACGGGGCTCGCAGGAGGAAGACACGGAGAGCCCTGGAGACTGGGGAAACGGTGTCAACACCCCAAGGGGACTGTGAAAGGAGCGGAGCGCCAGGAGCAAGCTCGGCGCGGACGCACCCGGCGTGGCCCCGAACCGGAACCGGAACCGGAACCGCTGCAGGAGGCGGCGGGCCTGAGTTCTCCCCTCCAGAACTTACGCCTCGCGGCCTAAGCCCCTGTTTTCAAAAAAACACCTTTCTGAATCAATGCTGAAGAAATACCCCTTTCCCACGGGCTCGGATATGACCCCCAAGGACATGGGACTAAACGCATCTCACCCCTGGGAGCCCACTTCAACCTCGTGATCCGTTGGAGCGGTCCCGGCTCTCAGGAGAGGAAGAGGGTGGGCTTGAGGAGCGAAGACGGCTGGGCGCTGAGCAGGGGCGGGGCGCCCTGCGGGTGCACAGGTGCGGCGTCTGCAGCTACTGCGCAGGTTAATCTATGCTTTAATCAATGCAGCATGGCGGTTTTATTATTTTTACCTAAAGACGTCTTTTTGGTAATAACAAACATATTTTTTTTTAAAGCCTGTTTTTTCTCGATACACCTTTAAAGGTTTTTGAACTGTTACATATCTGGTCAGGTTGTGATTTTTAAGAACTTTATTTTTAATTTGTAATAAAAGTTTACAACTTGATTTTTTTTCAAAAGTCAACAAAGTGCAAGCATCTGTTAATAAAATTCACAAGTAATTTTTAAAATATAATCTAATATATAAACTGGGGCCAAAGCCAGCTCCTGGCATGACGGACCAGAGTAGGACAGTTCTGCAGTCCCACTAGCGGCTCGTGGCTCCGAAGAGGTCTCACCACCCATGTCTGCAGCCAGGGGGCAGAAGCCAAGCGCTGGCAGATGACGAGCTCGGAAAGGCCGCGTGGAGTGGTTCCACACTGCCGCCTGCCGGAGGGGCTTCAGGTGACTGGGGGTCCGGGTGACGGAGTGATGGGCTGGGCTCCGCGAAGCAGAAGCCCTTCTGGAAGGGAAACCCGAAGACCATGTCGGCTCAGGGACTCGGCTAGAGAGGACCACCTCTCCTCTGTAACCTCCGGCTTCTGCAGCAGATCTTCACAAGCCTGAAGAGAGCAGTGACAACTCAGCTGCAGCGGAGACGCCCGCGCCCCCGGGGCTTCCCTGCTCCCCTCTAACAGGATTTCTAGAGCATTGCACAGCCCAGCCGTGCACGTTCTTGGAGCCGCTGCTAAGTCTGTCTCTGAGTAGGACGTTTCCGCTCAGCCTGCATCTGCCGTGCACTGGGCGTTGTGGAAGCGATGGGCTCCCTCGATCCTCAGCGTTACAGGACTTTTAAAGAGTATCTGGGTTCACTGGGTAGAGCGAGTGACGGCCAAGTAAACTCTTCTGTCCCCAAAGGGCATTAAGTATGCTGGCTTTCTTGTGCCTCTGCTCATCTCTCCGACGCGCAGTATCAGAGCGATGCTTCCTCATACAGTCTGCAGACTTCGCTGTTAGGCGCTGTCAGACGCGATCTGCTTGGACTTAGACAAACGCGGTCCTGGTTTTCAGTACAGCCGTGAAAAACTTCACCGACTCAGCTAACAATCTGGTTTTTAATGGGTGTAGTAACTGTGCGAGGCAACTCTGGGACATTTGTTATGAACAATTTCATTTCTTACTAAAGAACAAATGGTTAATATTGGATAAAGATTTTAACAGTATGGCTAACGTTTCCAATTATTTTTCTAAGAATTTTTCAACAGCCTTCCAAACTTAGTGAAGTTTGTACAGTGGTTACGACAAATTAAGCTATGAAAAGCTGATCAATCCGTCCATCCATCCATCAAACACTGCCTTCCTTTTAGGAGAAAGGAAATGCAGTCTTCTGGCCAGAGGGCAGTGGGCAATTCATGTAAGTGCTGATGTATAGCCTGTCTCTTTTCTGTTAAACGTACTGTTAAGTAAACCAGGTTTTCTTGCTTGCATACTTTATCTTATTCCAGAAGTGGCTGTCATCAAGAAATCAGCCAGGGGCTGGTGAGATGGCTCAGTGGTCTAAAGCACCTACTT